CCGATTCCATGCTCGAGGAGGCACAAACAGGAAAGGAGAAGTTCAACAAAGGGATCCATGGAGCGGACAGTCCCCTTCATTCCTTTTTCGATGGTGTGGATTCATCTGCTTTGGAAGATTTGTCCAGGGTCAACGACCTGGAAGTTTTAAAGAAGGACACATCCTTGGAAGCCGACGGGCCGAGTTCGAGCCCGGAATTAATCAATCAGTTCCCTGCACTGAGTGTGGACCCCGATCGAAAGAGGTCGATTATTTTGATCGTCCCAAAGGATGCCCGGGTCCTGTCTGCTCCCGTGGGGTAAGCTAGTTACCTCCGATGCCTGGTGACCGAGGAGGACCAGGCAAAAAAAAATAAGGTGAACGTGCCGAGCCTTTACAATGAGGCACAGCAGGTGCTGAACCGGGTAAGGCATCACTACTTTCCATCGATCTTTACTCAAGGTTTGATTTTCTCACATTTTTCATCTTTTTATAGGCCTCGGTATTCATCACGAGAGCTTCCTTTGGTAGCGGGTTGAGGTTAATCAACTCAAGCTCGAGATCAAGGAGCTTTCCCAGAAAGGGGACATGTATAAGCTCCTCAGCGAGCAACAAGAAGGGGTCGTTAGAAACCTCCAAGCCGAGATGGATGCGGCTCAGAAAGAAGCATCGCCCTTTAGGCGGGAACACGCCGACTTGGTGGAAAAGGTAAAGTTTTTTGAAGTCAGAAATGAAGATCGGTCGCAGTGGCTAAAACCAATACCTCGCAGGTCCAGCAAAAGATCGACTAGATCGACCAACTCTGAAAGGAGATGGACGAGCTGCAAGTAATGGCCGACGAATGGAAAAGCAAGAAGGACCTGCTGGCCTCGGAGAAGGAGACCGCCCAGGCCAAGCTGTCTTCGGTAGAAATTCAACTTTGAGTGGCGACGGAGAAGGCTGATAAATGGGCTCAGCAAAATGAGGATCTTTGAACACAACTGGGTTTGGCCATCGCCGAATGGGATGCCCTTGGCAAAGAGCTCGAAATAACAAGTTAGATATAACCTCGCCTGATGCTGATGAGATGGTGGCTCAACACAAGGCCAATGTCGAAGCAGCCGAGGCCCGCCTGAAGACCACTGCTGAGTACGTGAGGCGGCTATCCAGAAGGGAGACCCTCGAAGAAATACATGCCCGAGGCTTTGACCAATCCGCCGAGATCAAGGAGGCAAAAAGATTTGAGTTCGAGGCGAAGAAGCTAGCTGAACCCTAAGGTGAGGAGGGCTCCGAAGAATCCGAAGGCCCCGACATTTCTGGTGACAAATCGGGCTCCGTCGAAAGGCGCAAATGCCTTAGGATTTTTTAGTTTTTGTATCCTGTACATATTTCTTGTTCAGTTCGAGGCCGTTTTTGTTGGGCCTTAGTAAAGATATTCCGAAATATATAAATAAATTTCCCCCTTTTGGCAATTTCAAGTTTCTACTATCTTAGCATCTTTTTATAATTGCAAATATTTCTAATGCCTTAGCACAATATCAAACATAGTAATGAGTCATTTATTGTTCGGAAAACCTGACCTCGATGCAGTTCTTGCTCGAAACCTTTGAAAACTCTGAGTGATCGAAAGTTTTCCCAAGATGCTTAAGTGTTTTTAGACGATGCCTTTGCCGAGGGTAACCTTTTAGCAAGTTTAGAATTTTGTTGAAGGCCTTACATTTTGATTATGGGCGTCAGACGTCTCCAAACCGCTTTTTAGGGTGGTCGTAGCCTTTTAGGTTTAGGTATTGCCTAATAGCTTTTGTTCCTCCAGGTTTAAATACCCGGGCCGCCCGAGCATATTTTGGACGATAGTTCCCAAGTGGGGGTAGCCCTTTGGTCTCGGATAAGGGTGGCCCTTAGGCTTGATAATCCCCCGATAGGAATAGCCCTTAGGCTCAACGCTTTTAGAAGAAAAAAGTATGTAATAGCAAGGTAGAAACTTCCTTTTTATTTCTGTGCGTAACGTACAATATTGAAAATGTGTAAAAGCTTTTATTATGGCAAAGGTGGCCTACACGGGCACTGTTCACTTGACCGTTTGGCCCTTACAATAAATCCTAGATACCGAGCCTAGATTGTTCAAGCACAAAGTTTCCTTCCTTCTTTGCTAAGAAGATTGACCCGAGGGTGATGGTCCCCACTATTCGAGGTCGATCTTGAGAGGGCTCGGATACTGTTGATGAGACTATTGACTCCGATTTTAAAATCGGTCTTCGATTCTAAGTTAGCACGATTTAATGTTGCTCGTTAATATTCTTGTCGGATAACCCACCGGTTCAAGGGAAAAAGAGTGTGATGCGTGCTTTCAGACCTAATAGTCACATTCTCCTTTGGTTGTTACCTGCAAGCTTACTCCAATTCGTAATATTACAAAATGGTGAATGAGGTCGTACCTTAGCAGTATTACCACTTTAAGTACGTCACATTCCAGTTGTTTGATAGTTGTGCATTGTTTCCTGCTTCGAGTTTGTATGAACCTTTACTGGTAATCCCGATGACTTGCTATGGTCCTTCCCAATTCGGCCCCAGCTTCCCCTCATTCGGGTTCCGGGTGTGCAATGTTAATTTTCTTAACACCAAATCTTCAATATTGAAGTGCCAGAGGTTGGGTCTTCGGTTGTAATATCTTTCTATCTATTGTTTCTGAGCGGCCAACCGGACAAGGGAAGCCTCGTGCCTCTCATCCAATAGTTCCAGGCTTGTGCTCATGGCCTCACCGTTTGATTCTTCGGTCACATATCGGAACCTAAGGCTCAGTTCTCCCACTTTGACTGGTACTGGTGTTTCTGCACCGTAGACTAATGAAAATGGAGTGGCCCCGGTACTATATTTCGAGGTTGTACGGTATGCCCACAAGACTTTGGGCAGAATTTCTTTCCATTTCCGTTTGGCATCTTCAGGTTTTGAAGTATGGTCTTATTTATAGATTCTACCTGTCCGTTCCCACTAGGGTGATAGGGTGTTGACAAGATCTTTTTGATCTTATAGTCCTCAAAAAATCTATTTGCTTTGCTGCCAATGAACTGCTTCCCGTTATCACACACTATCTCGGCCGGTATTCTGAACCGGCATATTATGTGGTCCCAAATAAAGTCGATAACTTCCCTTTCCCGGACCTTCTCGAACACTCGAGCTTCGACCAACTTATAAAAATAGTCGGTCATAAATAGTATGAATTGAGCCTTACCGGGTGCTCGCGGCAGGAAACCGACAATGTCCATTCCCCACTTCATGAACGGCCAGGGTGACAAGACTGAATGTAGTAGCTCTCTGGGTTGATGGATCCTTGGTGCATGACTCTGGCATCCGTCGCATCTTCGTACAAAGTCCTTTGCATCTTTCTCCATGTCGATCTAGTAATAGCCAGCCCTGATTTTCTTGCGAACCAAAGATTCTGCCCTCGGATGGTTTCCGCAGGTGCCTTCGTGAACTTCCCTCAGAATATATTCGGTATCTCCCGGCTTGATAAGTGGGGATATTAACTACTTATTAGCGCCTTTTAGCTTTCGTTTTCGTCCAAAAGTGTGTAATTACATTCACGAAAACTGATGAAATATGTTTAATTGCAGGAGTTTTGGAAAATGAGCCACAAAGATAAAATTCAACTCAAGAAGGAGTGATCTGAACTCAAGGACAAAATCAGGCACAAAAGCATAAAGTGCGGATTGCAGATTTCCATCTGCGGCCGCAGAATGCAAAAGGGAATCCACCAGAGTGCTAGTGCAAAATGCGGACCGCACAATTATTGTGCGGCCGCAGAAGCTAAGCAAGAGCAGAAGTTCAGAGAGTATGCATATGGAGTTCAAAGGAAGTGCAGACCGCACAATTATTGTGCGGCCGCAGAAGTCATCCACGCGGCCGCACTCAGAATTTTGCGGTCCGCAGAAGGGCCCTGTGCGGCCGCACCAAGAAATGTGCGAACCACAGATTATGAAAGATGCGGCCGCATTCCAGAATTGTGAGGACCCAGTTCCAACTCCTGTCAAGACTCAAGAAAAGTGCGGACCGCACATGGAATTGTGCGACCGTAGAACCTCCAAAAGGGCATTTTTGTCCGAAATTTCAGCTTTGTATAAATAGACTAGTTTCACGAAACTAGGTCAAATTTTGAATATTGAAACTCCTGTAGCCATTTTTCCTTATGCTTTAGGCAACATTAGCTTACTTTAGTGATTTAACATTGGATTTTTATCTTCTAATCTTTCAATATGAGTTTTATCATCTTTTCTACCTTGTTTTCTTCTATACCTATTATGAGTAGCTACATTTTTAACTAGGGTTGCGACCCAACCCTAGTGTGTAAACCTAATGGGTGTTTGATTTATGGCTTGTTTATGGTTGGGTGTTGATTATTTAGCTTTGTTCTTGCTTTTTATTGTATAATTAATGATTGCAATCATTCGTTCATGCCTATTTGACTTGGTCTCTACTTGAGAAAGAGAGACTTAGTCTAGGAAAACTTGGATAACAAGAATTTGGGATGAAATCAAGATATTGATAGTTTCAATTAAAGGGTTGAACCTAAAGATAGTAATACCTGACTTGAGCATTTTACCAATTGTTTTGTTCAATACCCATTTGGACTTGAGAAAGCCAAATTGGGCAAAATCACTCTCTTACCGAGAGGTATTGAGTGGGTACTTGAGTGTTGATAGCTATAATCCATCTCGACCAACACAAAAAGTTTTAAATTTTACAATCCGTTAGGCAAACACCTAGGTGAAGGTCATAGCCGTAGGCCTATTACATTATATAAAAACACAACAAAAACACAATCCGTTAGTTTCAATTAATTGTATTGCAATCTTAGTTTAATTTAGACCTAGAAACAACCATATTTGTGGAAGTGCAATCTAAGATAGTTCAAACTCATTCACCGCAATATATACTCCTAAATCTGATTCCTATAGCTCCCCGTGGAATTCGACCCCGACTCTGTTGGGTATTACTATTGCATCGACCGTTTCATAACCTCGAATAGAGGTGTGACTCGGACGAGATCACGGACCCAAGCATATGGTGAGCGGGCTAAACCTGGCCGCCTTCGTGCATAGAGCTCTTGATTCTTTAGGATCCGAGGGTAACTTCCCAGTCTTCAAGTAGTCTATATACTTGTTTCTCCAATCCCAGGTTAAACTTGTTGAGTTTATTTCGGCATGGCCTTCTTCCACTATCGATTTTATGAGTTGTACAATCGTTCTTGAACTGAATTCATCGTCATCAACCGATGACCCCAAGTTATCCAGAGCATCGGCCTCGCTATTTTGGTCTCGGGGTACGTGTTGTGAGGTCCAATCCTTGAATCGATGCAGCGTTACTTGCAATTTGTCCAAATACCTTTGCATTCGTTCCTCTTTTACTTCAAACGTCCCATTAACTTGATTTACCACGAGGAGGGAATCGCACTTAGCTTCGACCACCTCAGCTCCCGGGCTTTTAGCCAATTCGGGACCTACAATCATGGCCTCATTGTTAGTCAATTTCACAGTTCTAATAGACTGCCTAACTACATTACCTGTAGGCGGCTTTAACGCGATGCCGAGTTCGGACCCATTTGCATTCGAGGCACCGTCCGTAAAGAGGGTCCAAATTCCCGAGGAATCTCCTAGGTTAACAACAATTCCTTTTCGACTTCGGGTATTATACCGGTGTAAAGTCGGCCATGAAGTCTGCAAAAATTTGAGATTTGATGGCAATCCGGGGTCAATATTCAATATCGTACCCGCTAATTTCTACGGCCCATTTGGCCAATCGGTCCGAGAGCTTGGGTTTCTGTATTATGTTCCTTAGTGGTTAAGAAGTTACGGCGCATATAGGGTAGCACTGAAAATACGGCTTTAACTTTCTGGAGGCGCTTAGCAAAGCGAGCGCCAATTGTTCTAGGTGAGGATACCTTGTTTCAGCCTCGCCTAGAGTTCTACTAACATAATAGATAGGAAATTGCATACCTTCCTCTTCCCGAACTAAGAACCCACTTACCGTTATCTCGAATACCTCTAAGTACAGGTACAACTGCTTGTTTGCCTTCGGAGTATGGAGCAAGGGTGGACACAAAAGGTACCATTTGAATTCTTCCAAAGCTTGCTGAAACTCCGGGGTCCACAAAAAGTTGTTATTCTTCTTCAATAATTTGAAGAACCGATGGTTCTTTTCGGAAGACCTCAATATGAACCGGCCCAGAGCGGCTATGTGCCCGGTTAGCCTCTGAAAAACCTTGACACTGTCCACCACAGTGATATCTTCTATAGCTTTGATTTTATCGGGATTGATCTCGATCCCTTGGTGGGACACCATGAATCCAAGGAACTTTCCGGATCCGACCCCGAATGAGCATTTCTCCGGGTTCAGCTTCATATTGTATTTCTTCAGTAAGTCAAAGGTTTCCTATAAATGTTTCAAATGGTCCTCTGCTCGCAAAGACTTAACTATCATATCGTCAATATAAACTTCCATTGATTTTCCTATTTGTTCTTCGAACATCCAGTTTACTAGGCGTTGATAAGTGGCACCTGCTTTTTTTAGTCCGAACGACATTACGTTATAACAATAGGTGCCGAATTTAGTGATAAAGGAAGTTTTTCTTGATCGTCCGGGTCCATTGGGATTTGGTTGTACTCGGAATAGGCATCGAGAAAGCTGAGTATCTTGTGCCCGACTGTCCCATCGATCATGCAATCGATGTTAGGCAAAGGAAAAGAGTACTTAGGGCTTGCCTTATTCAAGACTTTGTAGTCTATGCACATTCTCAATTTATTTCCCTTTTTAGGCACTACTACTACGTTAGCCAACCAATTCGGGTACTTAACTTTCCGAATGGAACCTATTTTAAGGAGTTTGGATACCTCGTCTTTGATGAATGCGTGCTTGATTTCGAACTGAGGCCTCCTCTTCTATTTTACTGGGCAGAACTTCAGATCCAAGCTCAGCCTAGGAGTGGTTATTTCTGGCGGGATCCCTGTCATATCAAGATAGGACCAGGCGAAGCAAGCAATATATGTTAGCTATAAGGAATTTAATGAGTTTTTTCCTAAGCTCGGGAGTTAACCCCGTGCCCGGGTTTACCTTTCGGTCGGGCAGATGTTCGATCAATATAACTTGCTCCGGCTCCTCGACCGTCGATTTGGTGGAATCGGAATTGTTAGGGGTGATGAACGACCTAGGAACTCCGTAATCATCATCCTCCCCTGCTTCCTGCTTCTCCGGTTCGGTTGGGGCTGGGGCCGGTATCGGTGATTGCTATTTAGTTTCTTCCTTCTTAACTGGCTCTGAGTTTTTCGATGTTGAGAGTGCGAACATCGGGATCATCTCATCGATCGCGAACATTTCTTTTGTGGTCGGTTGCTCTCCGTAAACCATCTTGATCCCTCCCGGCATGGGGAACTTTAGTGCCGTCGACGGTATTGCCCTCATGTTGTGAATCCATGGCCGCTCGAATAGAGCACTATATCTTATATCCCCTTCAATAACATAGAACTTCATTTCCTGAATGGTCCCGGTAGGGATCTCCCCTTCAGTAGTCTCACATGCCATCTTGAATTCGCTTAGGACCTAGACTACAAGCACTATTTGGTCTTGTAGATCTAGCTGCTCTACGACCCTTGATCTGATGATATTGGCCGAGCTACCCGAATCAATTAACACACGCTTAACTTGAGATTTATTTATGAGTACAGATATTACCAGCGCATCATTATGCGGTTGCACGATACCTTCAGCGTCCTCATCGTTGAAAGAGATGGTACCCTCTGGTATGTAATCTCGGGTTCGTTTTTCCCTTATAATGGACACCTTAGTGCGCTTTAGCATTGGCCTCTGGGGGATGCCGACTCCACCAATGATCATGTTAATGATGTGCTGAGGTTCCTCTTACTCGGTTTGTTTGTTGGAGTCCCTACTCCTTAAGTGATTTTTGGCTCGATCACTCAAAAATTTCTGGAGGTACCCGTCACTGAATAACCGGGCCACTTCTTCCCTTAGTTGTTGGCAGTCTTCGGTCCTGTGACCGTGAGTGCCATGATGCTTACACATCAGGTTGGGGTCTCTTTGGGCAGGATCGAATTGCAATGACCGAGGCCACTTGGTATCTTTGATGTGCCCGATGGCAGATACGATGCCGGCAACATCGACACTGAAGTTTTATTATGATAATCTCGGTACCTCCCCGGCCCCGAGTGGCCTGTTGAAACCGTTTTTACTCATGAGTCCCTGGCTATTTTGGCCTCGATCGCTCCTTTTTTCATTCTTCGCAGGGTTACGTCCGGATCCGCTACCCCTTCGATCTTCTCTATACGGTTGATACCGATCTCTATTCGGTCTTAGTTCATGATCGATGACTCTTTTAGACCTGTCATTAGTTCCAATAGGATAAATAGACCCGAAGGGGGCCCCGAGATGATCATCCTCGACCTTGATGGCCCCGACGTGAGCTTTTACAAAGGCATACGCAAGCATAGCAAATGAATCAATGGAATTAGGGGGGTAAGTTGTGATACCATATCATTGCTCCTTTTGACAGGGTTTCTTCGAACTTTTTCAGCAAAACCGAATCGATTTCGTCATCTTCTAAGTCATTTCCCTTGATGGAACACGTGTAGGAGGTTACATGTTCATTTGGATCCATGGTTCCATTATACTTTGGAATTTCGGGAATACGGAAGTTCTTCGGGATTGGTCTCGGTGCTACGCTCGGAGGGAAAGGCTTTTGGACAAATTTCTTATAATCCAGGCCTTTCAATATCGGGGGTGCTTCTGGGATTTGATCAACTCTAGAGTTATAGGTCTCCATTTTTTGTCGTTGGCTTCGATCTTCTTTTCCCCCGATTCCACCCACTTCTTCTCCTCAAGCATATTTATTATCTCAGGGTTGGTCCCGAGTTCAACTTTGCCCGGCCTTTCCGTGATTTGTTCATTTCTTCGGGTGTTCTCCTGGGATGGTTCGGGCTCAACTCTGCTGGGGCGCGGCTTTGATTCTGTAGCTGGGCTATCGTCACGTGTTGAGCTTGTAGCATTTCGAAGATTACCCGCGAATTTATTCCATTGCCTTCACTATCGTGCGTACCCCGGGCTATTTACCGGGCTCCTCCGCAGATGTTGTTCTCAGAATCGGTAGGCAAGTTTGCATCGATGGCCACATGTGAGCTGGCATCGATTGGGTCCGCAATCGGAGCTCTGTTGGGGTCAACTGTCACGACCCGGAATTCCCACCGTCGGGACCGTGATAGCGCCTAATATTTCACTTAGCCATCTGCAATCTGATGGGCTGAGCAAGTCCCTCAATAAACCTCCTCGCCCTCTCTCTCTCTCTCTCTCTCTCTCTCTCTCTCTCTCTCTCTCTCTCTCTCTCTTTCTCTCGGTAGGAAGCAGAAGAATAACATGATGGGCCTGATCCACAAATCGAGTCTCGTATTGAGTGACAGTCATAGAACCCTGTTGCAGACGCTCGAACTGCCTCTGATTGTCCTCTCTGAGTGATAGGAATACATATCAAGAAATAGCTGAGAGAACCGGTCCCAAGTAAGAGCCGTCGACCCAGCTAGTATGACCAACATATAGTCCCTCCACCATTTCTTGGAGGAACCCGACAAATGAAATGCAGCAAAGTTGACCCCATTGGTCTCCACTATCCCCATGTTCCGTAATACCTCATGACAGCTGTCTAGATAGTCCTGGGGATCCTTTGAAGATGCACCGCTATAGTGAACTGGGAAAAGCTTGGTAAACCTATCCAATCTCTACAAAGCCTCAGAAGACATAGCCGATCCATCACCGGTCTGTGCTGCAACACCCGGCTGAACTACCCCAACAGGCTGAGCTGTTGGAGTCTGAAACTGAGGAGCCATCTACTCCGGAGTGTGGGTAGCCGGAGTCTGTGCTCCTTCCCTATCCTGAGAGACGGCTGGTGCTACAGGAAATGTGTCGGCCTGTGCCACACTCTCCATGAGGCCCACTAGAAGAACCAAAGCATCCTGAAGTACCGGGGTGGCGATGAACACCTCTAGGACCTGAGTTGGTCCTGCTGGAACGGTCTGGGTTGGAGCCTCCTCATCAAACTCTACCTGAGGCTCTGCCGCTAGTGCTGTTGCTCGAGCTCGGGGCTGAGATCTGCCCCTGCCTCGGCCTCTGCCCCTCGTAGGAGCTATTGTTGCTCAACTGAAGATGCGGTACGCGTTCTCGCCATCTGCGAGAGAACAGAATAGAAGAGTTCAATTAGCAATGATAGAATAAAATCGCACGATAAAAAAGAATAAAAGTGAAACTGTTCCTAACTCCATAGCCTCCGGAAGATAAGTACAGACGTCTCCATACCGATCCTCCAGACTCTACTAAGTTTGCTCGTGACTCCTGAGACCTATGTAACCTAGTGCTCTGATACCAACTTGTCACGACCCAGAATTCCCACCGTCGGGACCGTGATGGTGCCTAACATTTCACTTGCTAGGTAAGCCAACGTTAGAAAAATTTATCCATTTTTAACAATTGGATTAAACAACGAAAGATAATTGGAATAACTGAAATATCAATGCGAAAGATAAAACTGCCAAACGTCTATTACAATTCCCTGAACCTGGTGTCACAAGTGCACGAGCTTCTAAAGTAATACACATAAAGGTTTGAAATAAGTACAAAGCTGTCTGAATAAAGTTGTACAGCTAAAAGAAAAGAGGATGGGGACTCCAGGAGCTGCGGGTGCTGAACAACTTTACCTCAAGTCTCCACAATAGTCCGATCCGAGCTCGCTAATAACCACCGCTGGGACCGTCTCCAGAATCTGCATAGCGTGCAGAGTGTAGTATCAGTACAACTGCCCCCATGTATTGGTAAGTGTCGAGCCTAACCTCGACGAAGTAGTAAGCGGCTAAGGCGGGTCACCTACACTATAACCTGTACGCAATATATAATAATGACAGAAATAATGGAAATACCAAAAAAAAATTAAACAGTCAACAAAAAATGAGAACTACAGCCTCGAAATAAACCAGTGACGCCCAGAGTTACCAATCTTTACTAGTTCAAACAAAAGTATATATGAAAAAAAACGCAGCTAAGGAAATAGAAATATGTATATTGTTGCGGCGCGCAACCCGATCCCACTAGAAAACACATAATCCTCTCTTATTCCACCGTATCAATAACAATATCAGTAAATAACACATATTTGTTGCGGCGCGCAACCCGATCCCACCATTTATCAATATCAATATCATAATTCACCCTTATTTCACCATATCAATCCACCCTTATTCCTCCGTTGCGGCGTGCAACCCGATCCCACCGAATACACATATTCACCCTTATTCCACCATATCAATCCTCCCTTATTACACATGCTGCGGCGTGCAGCCCGATCCCACCAT